GCCCAGTTGTGCCCAAGTGTGTCCAGGTGTGCCCCAGGTGTGTCCAAGGTGTGTCCAGGTGTGCCCAGGTGTGCCCAAGTGTGTCCAGGTGTGTTCAAGGTGTGTCCAGGTGTGTCCAGGTGTGTCCAGGTGTGTTCAGGTGTGTCCAGGTGTGTCCCATGTGTGCCCAGGTGTGCCCAGGTGTGCCCCAGGTGTGTCCAGGTGTGTCCCAGGTGTTGTTTTGGTCTGTTTTTTTATGGATTTTGGGATTTTTTTTTGCCGATTTCCCCCAGGATTTCAGGATTTTTGGGGGGTTTTTGGGGTTCCCCAGGTGCCCCCCTCACCTGGCGGGCCCAGGTGGGCATCCCGTGCGTGCCAGGTGAGCGGTGGTGCAGGTTGAGCACGCCCACGCTCAGCGCCACCACCAGCGCCAGCAGCACCAGCGTCACCGTCAGGTAACGGCCGATGAGCGGCACCTGCAGCGACGTGGCCGGAACCTTGTCGGCCAGGAGCAGCAGGAACACCGTCAAGGTGAGCAGGGCGAACAGCGAGAGAGACATCTTCTCACCTGTGCAGGTGTGAGAGTGACAGGTGAGATCACCTGGACAGGTGTGACACACACAGGTGTCCCCAGGTGTGCCCCAGGTGTCCCCAGGTGTCCCCAGGTGTCCCCAGGTGTGCCCCAGATGTCCCCAGGTGTGCCCCAGGTGTGTCCAGGTGTGCCCAGGTGTGTCCAGGTGAGCCCCAGGAGTCCCCAGCCGCCCCCAGGTGTGTCCAGGTGTGCCCCAGGTGTCCCCAGGTGTCCCCAGGTGTGCCCCAGGTGTGCCCCAGGTGTGTCCAGGTGTGCCCCAGGAGTCCCCAGCCGCCCCCAGGTGTGCCCAGGTGAGCCCCACCTGCCCCCTCCCAGTCCCCCCCCAGTCCCCCCCGCCCAGCCCGTCCCCCGCGGGCGCCCAGGTGAGCTCACCTGCGTCGGGGGGCAGGTGGAAGACGCCCACGGCCAGCAGCGTCACCAGCACGCACGGCACCAGCACCGTGGCCAGGTAGAAGAGCGGCTTCCGCCGCAGCACCAGGTGGAAGGAGACGCCGGCAGGTGCGGCCGCCGGGCCCCAGGTGCCCCCCGAGCGGTGAACGAGGCTCCACTGCCCGTTCTCTGCGGGGGTGGACAGGTGAGGCACCTGGGGGAGCTCGAAACGCACCTGGGGGAGCTCAAAACGCACCTGAGAGCCCGAAAATCCCACCAAATACACCCAAAAATCCCCTCAAACGCACCTGGGGGAGCTCAAAACGCACCTGAGAGCCCGAAAATCCCACCAAACACACCCAAAAAACCCTAAAACACACCTGGGGGAGCTCGAAACGCACCTGAGAGCCCGAAAATCCCGCCAAACACACCCAAAAATCCCCTCAAACACACCTGGGGGAGCTCGAAACGCACCTGAGAGACCAAAAATCCCGCCAAACACACCCAAAAACCCCTAAAAATACACCTGTGAGCCCAAAAAAAACCTAAAAACACACCTGGGAACCCAAAATCACCCCCCCAAAATCCCCCCAAAAATCCCCATAAAATCATCCAAAAAATTCCCCAGAAATCCCAAAAATTCCCCAAAAAATCCCCAAAAAAATTCCCAAAAAAATCCCAAAAAATCCCCAAAAATTTCCCAAAAAAATCCCCCAAAAAATTCCCAAAAAATCCCAAAAAATTCCAAAAAAAATCCCAAAAAATCCCAAAAAAAATCCCAAAAAATTCCCAAAAAATTCCCAAAAAAGTCCCCAAAAAATCCCAAAATATCCCCAAAAATTCCCAAAAAAAATCCCAAAAAAATTTTCAAAATATCCCAAAAAATCCCCCCAAAAATCCCCCCAAATTCCCAAAAAATCCCCAAAAAATTCTCAAAAAAATCCCAAAAAGTCCCAAAAAAATCCCAAAAAAAATCCCAACAATTCCCCAAAAATCCCAAAAAAATCCCCAAAAAATCCCCAAAAAATCCCAAAAAAATCCCCCCAAAAAATCACCAAAAAATCAAAAAAATTTAAAAAAAAATCCCAAAAAAACCAAATAAATTCCCCAAAAAATCAAAAAAAAAA